ATGCCAAGCTGTGGCTCAAGAGATTTTCCTCGTGTAAAGTTAAGCCATGTAAGAAGAACTGGCAAGAGGCGGCCAATGCGTTGACAACACATCATAAAGTATCAACCGCAGCTAGGGCTTCCACCATCATTAAAGAACTGCATATGCACAAGTAAAGACGTAATAACATCAAGAGAGCTTTCTTACGGCAAGAGTCATGAAGTCTCTTTATTATTAACAAATAAAACGAGAGATTTGTTTAAGAAAAATATAAAAAAAAAACTTAACAGACACCCAACTAGTCAGGTGTTGTTAAGTGTACCGCAGTTCTCTCGTAAAAAATTTATTTTGACTTTTCACTTATTTCAAAAATAGTCTAAATCAAGTAATCAATATATATAATTGATTTAATAAAATGAGAGGCACACAGAACACAATGAGCACAAATGATTTTGTGGATGGAATGATGAAAACTTCACTTTTTCTAGTTATCTTGGAATAATTAAATTTAGCAAACATATATTGGAATAATTAAATTTAGCAAACATATAATCTTTAATCTTCTGAAAAGTGGTTTATTCCCAAAAAAATTTGTCAATAAAATGTCACCCCTTCCAACCTCCATATATCTTCAAGAAGTTTTGATATTGATTAAAACGCTGAATAAAACATATTGGTTGCAATCCCATTGTCAAAGTCATTCTAGTTCCATCTAGATCTAATCCAACACATTCAATTTTATGTGAACATAATAAAATAAATTTTTTTATTTTTTTTATTTCTTTGTCTTTTTTCGTTTCTTTATTTTGGAAAATGCCAGTCACAATGAAAATGAATGCATCAAACAAGTGGAGCATAAAAAATTGAGTGACAATGAAAATTATCAAACAGGTGGAGCATAAATAATTGAGTGACAACGAAAATGAATGCATCAAAAAGGTGGAGCCTAAAAAATTGCTCCACTTGGTGATGTGAGATCAAATACCGTTGACAGTGATGACTGACTAGAAGACTATTTGTTCTCTTTCTTCACTTCTTTCTCTTTCTTCACTTCTTTCTCTTTCATGCGTGTCACAGAGCCTTGATAGCGAAACTAGCAACTGCCAAGAAAGTTATTTTCCAGAGATTCTGCTATTAAGAAGCCACACGTACACGATTGGACAAATACCATGCAAATGGCAACAATATATATATATATATTGCTTCATTGGATCGACTTCTTCCAGAATGTGCTATTCCATGTGGATCATGTTTGTATCATCCCACAACCACCGGTCACGCTAGGGTCCATGCCCAAAATCTCTGATTATTTTTGTGGCCCCACAACAGATGGAGGGACTCGTTGTGGAATCCTATTGTGCTGACCAATAAAAGTCGGTGACGGAGGGAAAAAAATATTTAAAAATAAAAAATGATACGTCTTTCGATTTTAATTGTCGATTCTTTTTCTGAATTTAACATGATTGGATCACGTTAAATTTTTTTTTAAAAAAAAAAAAAATTCATAAACATCTCTTCTATTCGACTCATTCTCAACCACGTTAGATTTGGAAGAGAAGGAGTCGGTAATTGGAGTTGAAAGACGTATCATTCCTCTTTAAAAATAGATGAATTTAAATAATTAACAGCATAGAAAATTTCCATTTATCATAATAAGGGGTTTTTACTAAAAATTTAGTGACATATTCCACATCCGTTTAATATATATGGAAGATAGTAACAAATTTCTAGTATTTAATATAAATAAAAAAATTATTGTTTCGCCTCCATTTAGTTTCATACCAGAAAAAATTCTTGCACCAATATTCATTATTATTGGGGAAAAGTGCAAAAAAACCCCCCTTGAAGTATTGGGGTTTTGCAACTAACCCCCTTGAATTACATAAAACCCCATCGAACTAACAAATTGTTACATTTAACCCCCTTAAACTAACAATAGGGTGCCGGAAAAAAGCCAAAAGACAACATTACCCTCAATTAATTAACCTCTCTTTAGTTTGGGCCCCTATTTTTCTACAGAGAGAGAAGGGGAAAGAGAGAGAGCTGATGCCCCATCACCGATCAAAGCTGCGATTTAGAGCAACGAAAGAGAGAGAAATTGATTCACAGAAGAAAAACAAAGTTGCCTCTTTTAAGAGAAGAGGATGATTCGGCTTTACAAGTGGCTATCTGTTGCTTCTCCCATCGCCGTCGAAAACGGGTTATGTGAACGGCGATTGGGTTGTGCGCTTGGGCCGTCGATTGGCGATTGACGACGCGGGGCGATTAGGTTGTGCAATTGGCGACGACGATGATGGGTGCTAACGGCGGTGGGGGAAAGCTTGGCGAAGGCAGTGGCTATGGTTGTTGGGGAGAGGCGGCGGCTGTTGTTGGCGTTGGTGTGATGGTGGTGGTTGTGGATCAAAAGCGGTGGCGGTGTGGGTATATTGGGTTGCTCTGTTTTTTCTTGAAACATAGAGAGAGAGAAACGACGGATCTATTGAAGAAGCCTTAGCAGAACTTCACGGTAATCTCGAAAGTCTCAGAGCTTCTACGTCTCTGTCTTTTTCGGTTGCCTTCCACGGCTGAAGTTGTGTCATACAATGGTCGTAGGTGTCACAAAGGGCGGCTTCGTCGGCGGAGCAGAAGACAGAGCCTTGTAAAGCCCAATTGCATCAAACAGAACCATTCTTTGTCCTTGACAGCCATGTTCGACGGCAACCATTCTCCGTGGAGAAAAACAATTACACTTAAGTCATACTTCACCGGAAAAGGAGTATTGTAAAAAAAAAAAAAAAAAAAAAAAAAAAAAAAAAAAATGAAGCCATTCCTTGTCAAACAATACTACAATATTCTAACCTCCGTTGATGGTTAGAGAAGTATATTACTACAATACTCTTTCTGAAGCTCCATTGGCGACAGCGATTCCAAAGGATTCTGGCGAGTTACGACAGTTATTGGGAGATTGAATATTGATTTAGATTGTTAGAGAGAGATGAATCTTTGATTTAGAATTTTAGAGAGAGAAAGAAAGAAGATGAGAGTGTCACAACTTGTTTCGTTAAGAGATTCTCAGCAAAACTTCGCTTCGGACTGCGACCAGCTTACGACAATTTTATTGGTTTCATCCACACCATCGATTGGAAAGTACCCCTTTCCGTTTCTCTCTCTAAAAGTCATCTCTCTTTCTCGAAACCCATTTTGATCAGTACATCTAAGCAGGTCCAAACAACAGCATGGTCCAAACAACAACATATTATATGTACCCATCACGTTATATGTTAATTTCTTGCTTCATTGTGTTTTTTTCTTGATGCCCACTTTGATGTGTAAATTAGTGGAATCTGTAGTGAAACACTTATGGATGGTTCATTTTGATAAGAAAACAGAGGAGGCCAAACAAATGAGGATTGAATCAGAGGATTTGAAATAATATTTATTTTTTCTCTTTAGGGAAGTGGTCAACAACTATCATGGATTTGAAATCTGAAGCACTGTTGTTGATTGTTCTTGGAAGCGACTATCATAGGATTTGAAGATGAAGCCATTAATTGTTTCTTCTCCAGTGAGCCTTTTCTGAAAAATTTTCCTTTGTCCGAAAAAATCTATAATTGAAAAGTTACAGATGCACATGAGTGATATATATATATATATAGACAGAGGGAGGGAGAGGAGAAAAGAGGAGAGATTTGTTCAGCTCCCTCTGTGTGTGTGTGTTTTTTTTTTTTTTAAATCAGAAGCGTGAAGAAGGTGAACAATTATTATATGTATATGTCATGTGTGTAGACAGATGGAGCATAAGGGTGTGTTTGGGTGTAACAATTGGTGTATCTGAAAGCAACTATCATAGGATTTGAAGCCGATTTCGTTAATTGTTTCTTCTCCGACAAACACTTTTTCTAAAAATTCTTCCATTGTCGGAACAATCTATAATTGAAAAATTACATAAGCATATGAGCAATATATATATATATCGACAGAGGAAGGGAGAGAGGAGAGGAGAGATATGTTCAGTCAATTTTTTCTTTTTTCAATCATTCGACGTTGCAGAAGATCAACAGTAATAAGGTAACAAGGGTTTGTTTGGGGTGTTTGGGTTAATAGTTACAAAAGGGGTATTAGTGTCTTTTCATAGTTACAAGGGCATTGTGGTTATTAAAATTATAGTGTATGTCATGTGACTGTCACGTGGGGTAAGATCCAACCGGAATAGTGACGGATCCGACCAGAACAATGTCGGATGGGGCCATCTGCAACAAAAATGTGTAGTTTAGAGAGTTAGTTGCAATTTTAGTAGTTCAAGAGGTTAATTGCTTATTCTCTAATAGTTTAGGGGGTTTTTTTGCATTTTACCTTTATTATTATAATAAAAATATAATTAAATACTCACTCTATCCCAAAAAATATATCTTGTTTGAAGAACCGTTGTGAGTCACGATTCCCCAAACAAAGACATCTAATTTGGGACGAAGGTAGTATAATAAAGGAAATATCATTAGTAGGGGTGACCATTCATATTCACGAGTCGTAATCAATTTAAGGGTATTTTACTAAAAAGTTCAACTTGAACACACCTATTTAATAATCGTGTCAGGAATTCTAAACACTAATCCAACCTGTTTATTAAATGAGTTACACGTATAATGACCTATTTAATAAATAAATATTTTATTATTTAAATTATTAATAATACTTAATCAAACAATAAATATTAAAAAAATATAAATTTTAATCCAACCAAATTAGTGCATAATCTATAATCTACAAAATTACTAAATAATCTCTAATCAACAAAAAAAATAAATTATAAGATTATAAATTTAAATAATTATTTCAAAACTTAAATAGTAACATGTTTATGACAAATCTAGTTAAATTGGTTACATATATTAAATCACTCTATTCAAACATGACATAATTAACTAAATAGATTAATCATGTCCACATGTTTAAGATTGGAATAAAATTAATTCAGACCCGTTTAATTCATATTGTGTTCTAATTGTTTTATAGAATTGTGACAAATTTTGTCAAACCCTAGTTACGAATTATGAATGATGAGGTTAAAATTGGAGTAGAATATTGTAGAACGTAGAGTCGGACCATAGCAAAAGACAAAGAACCCATTCAGTAAGAAGTCAAAATCCAACCAGAATGCTGATTCACGGGTCCTTCCATCACCACTCGGTCTTAGCTCACCGTCCAACCCACAGACTGCAACATTGTTTCTGTTCCGACTCACCTCTAACTCCAACTCTCACCGTTTTCGCTTATAAATGGACCCTCCATTCCACTTTCTCTCTCATCCTGCTCGATCACACCAGACCCAGAGCTGGAGAGAGAAAGAGAAGTGTCACCCACATTTGCAATTGCAGAAGGGTAGAGAGAGAAAGCGAGGTGATCTCGATCTCGTCTTCTGTGTCTCCTTCTTTAATCAATTATAAGAAGAAGACGATGACGATGGTCGACAGTTACATTCTGGGTACTTTCTTCGTCTCTCTGTTGGGCTTTGCTCTTCTCCATATTTTGCGGGACAGGACAAAGAGAAATCGCCAACAGGAAGCTACTAGTGCGTTTGAGATCCGGGACGACAGCTTTTCGATCTTTGCTAACAGGGAATTCCGGCCGGACTACGGACCCGAATCTGACGTCATCATTGTCGGTGCTGGGGTCGCCGGTGCCGCCCTTGCTCACACCCTCGGAAAGGTGAGATTTCTCTCTTTTTTACCCTTTTCGAACTGTTTGTTTCCTCTGAAAATTTTCACTTTAACCCTGAAGCTCCTTCGGTAAGTTCGGTTTTCATGCCCTGTTTGTTTCCACGGAAATTTTTTATACCGTGAAAAAAAAGTAGAGTTAGGGCCGAAGTGTAATTATTATTCATATTATTTTTTATTTGGTGGGAACTGTTTCAATATCTGACTATAAGTTTAACTTTCCTGAGAAAATTTCTGGACAATTTTGTGTCAAAACAAACCGAGCCTTAGGCTTCGTTTGTATACACAGTTGAGAAAAGAAAGTAAATGACTATAAGAGAAAGGTGTATACACAGTTGAGAAAAGAAAGTAAATGACTATAAGAGAAAGGAAAGGAAAAAATAATTTATATTCATGTTTGGGTACATAGGAGAGAAAAGAAAGGAATTGACAATATTGTTATTTGGATAACACAAATGAGACAAATGAGAGAAAAGAAGGGAAAGGATTATAATAAAATTACCATCTTACCCTTTTTCTTGCCATATTGGTGGAAGTAATAGCAGTTTACTTTAGTAAATCTTTTTTGCTTCAACGCTGTGAACTATGAAGGAAACCTATTTTAAGTACTGGTCAATTTTATGTCTCTGCAATTCATCGCATATCTATAGCCATATACATAATTAGTTTTTAAATTGGATTATTTTCAAGATTGCAAATCCCAGCCAGCTTCAAAACCCAGAAATCCCTAGCATGCTCATTGGACTGGAGAGCCAGATCATTTACATAGATAGCAGCCATTCATATACATACATATATACATACAAATGCCCAAAAATGCTGAACAGATAAACATGAGTCATCAGGCCGAATTCAGAAACAAAGCTACTTCACTCTTATTTAAAAAATGTATTGTTACACTTGACCTGGAAAAATTAGCATCATCTGGAGGTTAGATATTCATAACATACTGACATTGTTGAATTACATACAGTACATAGCCAGCTAACCTCCAGGACACCAACACTCGAAGCAACAGCATCGCCCAACCTGCCCGTCCATCCTAGAAGCTTCCATTCATAACTAATTGAGTGATCTTCGCACAAGGCAGTCTAGTGATAATCTCGTTCTTCAGCCCGGTGCAATAGCAGTACAAACTCTAAGCCCATAAGATGGGCTCTTCAAACTCGGTCATTGAATGGAAATGACTATAAATACTTGACCATGCCACAACCCTCGACACTGAGTTTTGTAGCTTGAAGTTGCTTCTTCTTTGGTGCTTTCAACTGTTGCAATTTCTTGTTCATCTGCCAATAACATGAAATTAAACCTTCGTACCTAGAACTTGTCTCGGATAAGGAAAAACTAAAACAAGAACATGTCTTCAAGAATAGCACACCATACAGGTAACTTGGAAAAATTAGAACACATGATCCAATAAAACAGACTACAAGGAACATTGAAGAAAATTAGAACACAATCTCCCAAAACATACACACCACAGCCTAGGAGGCCAAAAAAGAAATAAGCATGCAATTGGTTTAGTCTTTAAAAGAATTTATCTCCAATTGGATCAGAACATCTTCACTGTCATTAAAATGCAGGACAAATATCCGAGCATAGCTTGGTTGAACTAAGCTTACAAGCAAAAGCATGATCCAATACCATCTTAGAAATCCTCTAGCACATTCACAACAAAAAATTTTAATAAACAATTCAGTATATTATTTTTATTCTCAGTTACTATAAGTCTATAGAGATGTAAAATGAATCATTTTTATAGAAGAAAGGGCTTGTATGAAGAAAAAAGAAAAAAAAGTCCGAACAGATATTCTTATTCACTTGGGTCCGACAACACCCAATTGATAATCCAAAAATCAATTAATATCTCTCCGTCTCTCTCTTTCTAAAGAGTACTGCTACTTTTTGTATGAGTGAATTCTTGAGCTTCACTTTCCAGAAATTAAAAAAAAAAAAAAGTAAAGAAAGAGAAAAAAAGATATTATTGAGCTCGTCTCTCACTCAAGATCAGGATCCTAACTTGTTCTTAGCCTCATTGCCTCCACCTTTTTTTCATCTTATCTTTTAGGGTTTCTTCTTTAATTTCTTTTTGTTTCACAATGTTAAGTTGGTTCTCTTTGCTACCTAAGCTTCATCTTTACCCTTTTTGAGTCCTCTGCATTCACACCCATCTCAACACCTTCAATAACCCCAATTATCAATTTTTATTTATTTCTATATATTTTTTTTTTGGGTGCTTTGTGTAGTATATATCTACAACTAAATTCTTGTGTTAACCAGTAAGCTGTTTAAAAAACAAAAAAAAAATCTCAATGTGCTCAAATCATTTAATATTGATGACAACTTCAATGTGCTCAAATCAACCCATATGATGGTAATCTTCAATGAACCCATTTTAGCTCATCTGATAAAAGCACACAACCACCACATACTACTGTATCACGGCGAGCAAAGAAGAGCGAGAGCGCTAAAGACTGTAATAGAGATAGGAACGTAATCCACTAATTAACTGAAATCCAAAAATTGATTAAGACAGCAAATTCATATTAACCAATTTCTTCAAATTTTCAAACTTAAATTTCCATTCACTAGCTTCAATTCAAAATGCCAAATTGAATATGAGAAACACCAAATAATTAGTAATTAATTTACTTATAAAGAACACAGAAAAAAAAATGAAAACAATTGAGTACCTTATATTTGCAAAAGAGAAGTCTTCCAACTGAGATCTAAAAGTGGCGAGCTGCTCTTCACAAGATCAATTCGTATATTGATTCTGAAATCAAAAAATAAGAATCAAAATCGATGAAGTCAGATTCATGTGTTGGCGCCAAGCCCTTATGCCGAGGTTCCCCTATCTTGGCAACTCAATCTAAGCCGGGGATGGATAGAAACAGAGACGACGAGCGGAGCGAACGATCAAAGTGATCAACAAAGGATCGACCAAATGTACAAACACAAAGACACACATATATATACTTGTATAAATAGAGAGAAATAGATTGGAAACAAACCTAGCAGCAACGGCAGTCTGCAAATCGCCTAACACGCCTTCGCGTCTCCAATTGAGGATTCCAGACCTAGGGTTAGCGTTTCTTCTTTGAGCCGTGTTAAAGAGCCGAAGCCGGAGACGCGAGAGAAGAGGAGATGGAGACGCGAGAGAAGAGGAGATGGAGAAGCTGCTGCGCCCTAATATAGAATTTGGAAGGCTAATTTTGTCTTTTGTTTGCTTTCTCTTCCTTTCCCCTCAAATCTTCTCAATTTTGAGGGGATTTGATTTTACTGTTATGGAGGGATTTGGAGGGATAGCCTATCCCTCCAAATCTTTCCCAATCCTTTCTTTTCTCTTCTATTCCTTCCATCCAAACACACTTAACACTATCCTTCCCTTTCTTTTCTTTCCAAATCCCTCTAAATCCCTCAATCCAAACGAGGCCTTAAAGTTCTATATGTGTTCATTGAAAATACTTTAGTAAATTAATGGAAATGCAAAGGAAATATATATCAGTTTTATTCATTTTTTTTTTTTTTTTTTGAATAACATGACATAATGAGATGGTTCAGAGGATACTATAGAACCATTGTGACGTCTCTTTTTGGGCATACTTGGTCTTATTCACACAAAATTAAAAGGGAAAGGAAAGTGCATCATGGTGTTGAACTAAAACTCTCTCTATCACTGTCAGAGGAAGGTATTGTTATTTCTTCTGTATTGAGTTTTTTTTTTATAAAAGTACTGTAGTTTTAAGTTTTAGTTGAGAACTTGTGTAGAAATTAGAAAATGACACTATAATTTTTTTTAATCACTATGTCTAGCACAATTACCTCCTTACGGTCTGCATGGCTTTAACCTCAGAATTGTAAGACATGAATTACACAAAATGAGCCATCTAGGTGTGTTGAAGGAGATGCGTGATTATTTGTTGAAGGAACTGGTTTCTGTTGCAAACCGACACTGCTATGATTTTCTCCATTTTTTCATGCACCTTGCCCTAACCCTGCACTATCAGCCTTCGATTACAATCTTATTTCTTGCTACTTGTTGCAGGACGGACGACGAGTTCATGTGATTGAGAGAGATTTGACGGAGCCTGACAGAATTGTTGGTGAACTGCTGCAACCAGGTGGATACTTGAGGCTGATTGAATTGGGCCTTGAAGGTATGTATGAAACTTTGCATGCATTTTAGAGTTTGGTACAGCCTCCTATTCAGTTATAAAAAAATAAAATAGTAAGTTGCAATGTAGACAAAACTTTTCTAGAACAAGCTCGTGTGGTGAAGAACTAGTTGGCAAATTGTCCTGCTTTTCTTTTTCTATAGACATAATTGATTTGATTGTGAAATCTAAAACACAAGCACTTCAACTACAGATTGTGTGGAGGAAATTGATGCCCAGCGAGTATTTGGATATGCTCTTTTCAAAGATGGGAGAAATACTAAACTGTCATATCCCCTGGAGAAATTTCATTCAGATGTGGCTGGGAGAAGCTTCCACAATGGGCGGTTCATACAGAGGATGAGGGAAAAAGCTGCTACACTTCCCAAGTATATTTTTTTGCCTATTGTTGCAAATAATCTGTTGTTTAATTATCTCTATGATTCTATAAATTACTAGGGAAATGTTATTTTTTGTTTAATTGATCTAAAACTCTACATTAAATTCTATAATCATAAAATCCTTCTCAAATTGTGGGTATTTGTTGGTACTGATATTATAATTGAGTAATCTGCACGCATAAATTGGAAGTATTTCTAAGATCTGTGGTTTTCAAAAGAGCAGCAGTATCCAAAATAATAACAAATGCCCAAAATCTGTACTAGCTGACATGGCCACTATTTCTCCCCTCTCCCCTTATTTTAAATAAATGCTCTATAGTCACTTCTAATGCAATTACATTAAAGTTCCTTATGACACATCAATTATTATTGTATTCTCATGCAATGCATTTTTAAGAAACATTTCCCTTTCGTGAGTGTTATTTCTGATCTAACATTTTTTTTCTTAGCAAATATTAACAGTCAATGCCACTTTGGCTCTAGTGCATCTCTTTTTTCTTTTCCTTTGGACAATCATTAACAATTTTTTTTTTTGTTGGATCTGGAACTAGCATCAATACATTTTCAACTATTCATCTGCTAACAGAAATTTTCTTTTTGTCATCTGTGTTCAGTTTTTATTCCTTGACAATTGATTTTATTTAGTACTACACGTCATGTAACTTATTGATTTATGCTTTATTGACATCATAATATATAGTAACTGAAAACTAGTAAATCTCAAGAGTGTTTCGGTGAGCATCCCCTAATTATAATTTGGGTTAATTACAACGACACCCCCTGAGTTTTGCCATATTGACAGTCATATTTAACTTAGCCGTTTTTTGGACAAAGACACCCCTTGTGAGAATTTTTGATCCAAACAAGTCCTTAAAATGTTTGAAAAGACGAGATTGCCCTTCAATGTTTAATTCATTTTTATGGTAAAATATCAGAACTCATGAAAAGTCATATTTGCCCCTTATATATATACACTATGACATCAGTACCATAGTATATAAATATATATACATCATATATATATATATATATATATATATATATATATATAACCAAATTATCTTACTGCCTCCTTCATCCACCTCTACCACCGCCCCATCCACATCCGCTGCCGTCATCTTGATCTGCCGCCACCACATCCGCCGCCATCGCCACCTCTTGATCCGCCGTCACTGCCTCTTGATCAACAACAGCCGTCGCCGCCTCTTCCACCACTTCTCATCCACAGCCGCTCGCACCGACGCCAACAACAACCGTTGCTGCCTCTCCCCAACAATCACCGCCGCCTCTCCCCAACAACCGCCACCGCCGCCTCTCCCCAACAACCACACTAACCCACCACCCAACCAAAGCTTGTGATCTAATCGCAATTCCCGACGATGGCGACGACCAATGGAAGCTTTGACGAAGGCGACCATTCTTCCAGACAATGTTGACAGCTAGAGAAGTTCCCGACAACGACCCGATGCCGAGGCTCCATTGCTCCGGCGAGAAGAACGATGATGGCGATGGTGGTTCGATTAATCACAATCTATATACACATATACATAGGAAGAAGATACATTACAGGAATTTGGGGGAAGTGGATTTGAACATGGATTACGGGTTATAAATACACATATATGTGTGTATATTATACAGAGAGAGACTAGGAGTTGATCTTTGCACTTTCTATTTTTGTATTTTGTGATATTTGTTAGCTTTATTTCTAGCACCATGGTGGTGGAGGTGGCGGCGGCTATGATAGGGTTGTGAAATGGCGGTGGTGGGTGTGAACTGGTATGAGTAGGGTTTCTAGGGTATTTTGGTCAATAAAAAAAAAATTGTGAAAGTACAAAGAATTTCCCCCAATTGTAGAGAGAAATTTTACACTCCCAATGATTTCCAACCACTTTTCCCTCTCAATTTCCCTTATTTATAGACGGTTACAACCTCCTCTGGCCTGGGCCTTATTTGTTCTCTTTTGCCTGGACTCAACTTCTCTCATTTTAATATGGGTTTCTGCAATGACTTCATGGATCTGGGCCCATCCAGCGTGAACTTGCTCCATCCTGACTGTCCATACCTGACCCGTCCTTTACAATACGGATCATATCAAGCCCGGGTCATTTTGGTGTCCTCATCTGCCCCCAATAATCTCTCTCCTCATTAATGAGGGTGAGATTATTAAAAAGACACGATCTTGGTCTGACGGCTCGGAGCGATGACACGAGGAATCGAACGGCTGGCACAAAAACCCAAACTTCGAGATCTGCAGCGCCATTTTTTGCCTTGACCTTTTGAGTTCCATGTCGCCTTTACTTTTTCCACTTATAAATTCCGGTCTTTTAACCTTCATCTTTCTTTTTATATCTTGCTCCTACTCTCCGCTGCCTTCCTGCACATTCCGGCGATCCTTCTTCAATTTCTTCGACGAGTTTTTCCTTTTCGATTTTTGGCTACTGTACTGTTGCTGTGTTCATCACAAACTTCCAAGGTCAGTTTTTTTTTTACCTCTCTCTTTGAAAAAGACACCTTTATTGCCTAGGACTCCTCCCCTTCTTCTATGACTCCCCCTAATCTGAACGCCATTCGATTCAAGAATTGCATTCCCCGTGATGTTTCTCTCAGAGTCTATCCAATAAACTTAGATGGGAGATCTGGTGAGGGTCTCCTTCCTGGGGAAGTTTTATTCTCCGCCGTTCATTTGAATGTCATTAGGTTCCCCCTACACTCATTCTTTTGTTTTGCTTTCAACAAATTGGGGCTCTGCCCTCTGCAGGTTAACCCTAACTTCTTTAGGGTAATTTCAGTCCTTTTGCTCTTGAATCGTGACAAGGGTCTCAATCTTGACATTATCGACCTTCTCCTCTGCTACCGGATTAATAAAATTTCACAAAATGATTTGTACTACCACTTCTTCCCTATTGACAAACGGTCGATCTGCACTGATAAGAACTCATTTGAAAAAGGTTGGAGACAAAACTTAATTGTGGTTAGTGGGAATTGGCGGACTCCACTTGGCCAATCTTTCTCTATCCCTTCTTCCTTTGGAACATGCTCTGTCTCTGGCTACAAAAAGCTGAAAACACATCCTACTGAATGCCACTGTGAAAGTTGCCTTCCCCGTTTTTGCACTTTTCTTTGTAGATGCCTTCAAATTCCCCATGATGAACTGGTTTATAGCGTCTGCAGAGCTAGGCTAGACATCTTGCAAGAGAGTGTGCTGAACAATGTCCTTTCAGCTACTGATTTGCTTACATCTGATAATCTCTCTGACATCTCTCTTTTAGGGTCCACAATGGAGAGCATTCAGATCCCATCTTTCAGCAGGAGGAGGCGTTTTGCTCCCACCCCTTCTAACGCTCCTGCTACCACATCATCATTTACACCTGCTACCACATCGTCCACCCTTGCTGTCTCTGCCCCAGAGCAAGCTGTGATTGCTCTAACTGTGACTCAAGTCACAAACCGTTCTGCCGTTGAGCCTTCTGAGCTCACTCATGCTGAGAACCCCATTGTGGATCACACTGCTGAGATCCGTCTTGCTGCTCCCATAACTATGCCTTCCAACATCTCGTCTGATACTTCCTCAGAGAGCACTCAGGATGCTGGAAATTCTCAGGACAATGGAGGACCAGCTAATGCTGGTTTGTCAGAAAAAAGTTTAGGAAAAAGGCCAATGCCTGAGGGCGGTCATGACCGGAGTGATGTCCCACCAGCCCGTAGGATCAGGATGGCTTCCTTCAGGGTTACTGAACCATTGCCCCCTGCCCGGTTCTTCATTCCAGAAGACGAATCAGCCAGAACCTCAAGTCCGACTCCATCCGTTCTTCCATGGCGACCTTTGCTTAGCTGTGAAGATGGCTCGACCATTGGCCCCACCGACTCTATGTATAAGGACTCCCTTACCTCCTTTGCTTTCTACAAGGGTTTCTGGACTCCCAAGGACCTTGAGATTCAGAACAAGCTATCTTTTGGCGAGTTGTTCTAGCGGTTCCCAGCTGCTGCTATGGAGGTAACTTCTCTTTTTATTGAAATGCGTTTCCTTTCTGCTATAACTCTTTAGTAACTAGTCTGATTTGAATTTCCCTTCCTTTATGCAGACTCTATTCGGGATGTTCACCTTCCAAAAAACCATTGAGACTCTGAACAAAAAACTTAAATCCCTCTCTGTGGGCCTTAAAAGGTCAGTTGAAGCAGAGAATCGCCTTGAGGCCAAGGTTGCTGAGCTTGAGTCTAAGCTGAGCGAGTCAGAGAAGGGGGTTGCTGACTTAAAGGCAGAGAAGGACGGTCTGACAAATGAAAGGGACTCCCTCAGAGCTGAACGGGATACCCTGAAGGCCGAACGGGATTGTCTTCTGGATGAGGTTGATGTCTTGAAGACTGAGAAGAGCGTTGCTCTGACAAAAAGGGACTCTCTCAAAGCTGAAAAGGGAGACCTTCAACGCTCACTCATTGCTGATCGGTTGTCTCATGCCAACTCACAGGAGAAGCTCTTAAGCGAACGCTCTTCCTTGCTGAACATGATTGGCAAAGTCGAAGGGGGTATGAAAGCTCTCCTTGCTCGCTTCACCAGAACCAGTGCCATCCGGTATGTTGAAGGGTACAGAGATGGTTTTATTGACCGTTCTCCCCCTGAAGGCGAATCAAGCTCTTGTGCTAGTCCAGATGAATTAGATGCTTCTCTGGATATCCACCCTCCAAACAATTATCAAAACCCACCCTGCGACCCTGCTGAGAATATCTTCATCGAGTGCATAGAGGTAGCATCCTCAGGAATTGTTCCACCCTTTCATCCCCTGAATATTCCTCCCCTTTCTACTATTGTGCCCTCTTCCTCAGTTATTGACAGACTTATGCCTGCTGAGGGGGTGATTCATCTTAACTCCCCCCCTAAGGATGATAGGGCAGCTGAGAATGGACAAGAACTCAATGGTCTAGAGGATAATGGTAGGGAGAACGACAGGTCACAGCCTGGAGAAGATCATTAGAACTGACATCCTGTA